AACATACCTAACCAGCATATGCTGGTTTTTTCAACAGGGTGGTGTGTAGCTGAATTAATTAATACAAACAATATTACTGGCACCTTCTAGAAGTAGTTACAAATAATTTGATTTGAAGCAAATCTTTTCACATTACACTTGTTAGGAGCCTACAGTACAAAAATCACATATTCAGCCAGTTAGAATGGAAAAATAACTTTTCCTGTTTTGTGTCACCTTGTTTAAACAAGAACAGACGAAAGAAAGAAAAACAGAGGCACTAGATCAGGGGTGGGTAAACTTGGCCCTTCCAGGCCACTTTCCTTCAGAGGTTAGCTCCAACCCTAATCAAACACACCTGAACCAGCTAATCATTGTCTTCAAGACTACTAGAAGGCTACAGGCAGGTGGGTCATATCAGGGGTGGATCAAATCTCTGTAGAAGTAGTTACAAATAATTTGATTTGAAGCAAATCTTTTCACATTACACTTGTTAGGAGCCTACAGTACAAAAATCACATATTCAGCCAGTTAGAATGGAAAAATAACTTTTCCTGTTTTGTGTCACCTTGTTTAAACAAGAACAGACGAAAGAAAGAAAAACAGAGGCACTAGATCAGGGGTGGGTAAACTTGGCCCTTCCAGGCCACTTTCCTTCAGAGGTTAGCTCCAACCCTAATCAAACACACCTGAACCAGCTAATCATTGTCTTCAAGACTACTAGAAGGCTACAGGCAGGTGAGTCATATCAGGGTTGGATCAAATCTCTGCAGGAAAGTGGCCTGGAAGAGCCAAGTTTGCCCATCACTGCACTAGATCATAGCCAAGCATGGACAATCTCAAGGCTACAAGCACATCTCCAAAGACCTTGATGCCGCTGTTTTCACCATACATAATGTTATCATGAAGTTTAAGGCCCGTGGCACTGTAAGTGACCATAAGAGAAAACTTGAAAATTATGAATCATCTGAAAAAATTGCAAGAGTGCCAGACAACAACTGTATATATCACATTAAAAACACTATACCTTGAATACAAAATGCAGAGAACAAATATGGCCAGTCCTACGATGCTTTGAGCATCCCACCACTGCAAATGCGGGGCAGATGGCACAGTTTCCTCTATGTCTACAATGATGACGGCCGTCTGGTTCTCCATCTCCAGTGGGGCGACTGTGGGGGACGTGATCTGCTGGAAGATGCTGATCAGACTCGGGTTGCATGTGCGGTCTGGAGATGAGGGATGGACACACAAACAAAACGACAGATCTTGAAACTGAGCAAATTCTGCCATTTGAAAGCAAACGTCTGAAGTAAGTTTTCCAAGCTTTCCAAGTATCAGCTAAAAGCAAGGTCAAACATTCTGAATATCAACTAAGTCACATGGTCTAATTTAGCAAAGACAGAAGACAGAGATTAAATGTATAAAAACCTTTGTGAAGCTGCTAACCTGGCTCGTTGGTCATGGCTGACCAGGTGAAGTACATGGTGTACAAAGTCATAATGGATGACTGAAGAAGACCAGATCTGGGCTGGTATTCCTAGAATTATACACATTATCTCATTTCACTGGACTATAAATCACAAAGGGAGCATAAATGATTCACTAAACATGAAATATACATAAGATGTCATTTCAAATGACAACTGTGTGGCTTAATAACGTTTATATGTCAGGTACAGGCTAGCGAATGTCTCGGAGAAAACAATTGTAACTGTAAATACCTGAATTCTGGGCAGTACAGACAGAGCAGAAGCTACGACACATAATAACATGTTGAAGCTGATGAAGAACTTGTTAAGCACGCATCCTTCTGGCTGAGCGTAGATGTTATAGCAGAGAACTGCAGCCGTGAAGGACAGAATATAGTTCACTCCTGTTACCGACAGCAAGGCTAGGAGGAAGGAAGGAGCGTAAAATTACTTAATATACATATTATGACAAATAGGTTTACATACGTAACATGTTTACCTACCTATATACCACCTCTTTCGGTTTTCCTTTTCCATTTTTTCAACCCAGGATTCGTTCCACGAGTGGGCAAAGTCAATAAGCAAAACCAGCTGAATCAGAATAAAGCAAAATGCTCCACAGCTGCCCACAATAAACCACACTAAAGAAAAAGACATAAATGAACTTCGATTTTGTGCAAACCCAAATTGAGCTGGGCATGAAGAATAAAGAACATATGATTCATGAAGACCTCCAAAAACATGCTTTCCTTTGCCCATTCAACTGAACTAAATGATGAAGAACAATGGCACTAGAGGTGATGCATAAGCAATGCGCAATAAGTTATTACATTAATAATAATAATAATAATAAACAGAATAAAAAAATCCTCCGCCAAGTACAAACTGCTCAAAAAAATAGTTAAGTAAAATTAGAACAATGAATGTCCTTACTGTTGTTATACATGTGTATTTGGGAATGAGGGCTGACACATATTTTAATTGACAGCATGCAATTATTTTAAACACACAGGACTTCCATATACTTATACTAGAAAAGTCAACAACCTTGTCTGACAATATGACGGGACGGCAAGAGCTGTACCTTGTGATAGTTACACTTTTGAAAGGATAGTTCACCCAAAAATGAAAGTTCTGTCATCATTTTCTCACCCTAATGTCACTGGCTTATGTTCATCTTCAGAACACAAACATTGTTGTCCATCCACTGAAAATCCATGCAAACAAACTTTTCATCACTCTTAAAAAAGTATGAAAAGACATAGTAAAAGTATTCCACATGTATCAAGTGGTTTAATCCAAGTCCTCTGAAGAGACACAATCGCTTTATCTGAAGAACATAATTAATTTGAGCTTATAAACATTGATTAACACACATATGGTAAATGGAAGCTCAAACGTGCTTCCCTGACACACCATAAAGTGACTGTTCGGATTAAACCACTCAATTAAATAAAGTAATAAGCCCCAAGAAGCCGTGGTTTACAGTGAATGTATAACAGCTAAGGCTGTTATAAATTCACTGTAAACCACGGCTTCACGGGGCTTATTGCTTTTATTAAACGGTTATTCCATATACGTAGTAAGGTTTCACAAAATAAAACAGAGCAAATAAAGTGTAATGATAATAAAAACAGTATTCTTCCACCAAACAATGTAGTTCCTCAGAATCAGTCGCGGTTGCATCAAAGTGGTTGCCGAGCAACACACAGAAGTAAACAAAGGTGTATGTTTGTAGAGTAATTTACAACAGCTTCGAACGCGGCTCAACCAATCAGAATCAAGCACCGGAACTATCCGTTTTATAATAGTCATTTTACAATGTTTTATATTAACCTTCTGCAGTACAAACATCTCTTAGGTTTCATTAAAAATATCTTCATTTGTGTTTCGAAAATGAACAAAAGACACAGGGGTGATGACAGAATTTTCATTTTTGGGTGACCTACCCCTTCAAGTTGAGGCTTAGCAAAGGGTCAGTTGCAAAATGAATGATTTCCACAAACACTTTACCCTTATTATTAACATGTATTCTCATCATTGGCAAAGATTCTCCTGAAAGGTATCCGATTGGCTAAGATTATTCTTTACGGAGCACTATCACAGAAAGAAGAGTGACTTCTAATAAACTACCACCTATTGCAGTGATATCTGATATAATTTAATGACAGATATCAACTTGGACATTGTATTCATGACATTTATATAAAAACAACAAAAACATTAAATATAGCTTCACATTATCGCCAACCGATCAGATCAGATTTATAAAATGAGTTCAGTTCTTACTTCGGGTAAAAGGCCCCTCTGGGATATAGAAGGCACCAACAGTGAGAGCAACCATGGCTGCAATCTTGAAAACCCAGAACCTAATGAAATATAGAGATGTCTCAGTAGTTTCATAAAATGACAAAATACTAAGTATTAATTCTGCAAACTGTGGTTTAGAAATAAACAGATGACATGAATTGTAAATCAAATCAACAAGAAGAATTTCTAGTTTATAAAGTTTATAATAACTCGATTTTGGTCCACGTCATCTTAATGGACTAACCCATTGTGGATTGCGGCTCTGGGATCTCGGCTGTTCTTCACATTGATCGTGAGCAGGGAGAACGTGAGAAAGAACAAACTCATGCCACAACAAAGCCGGTACACAGCCTTATAGCCGACAAAAATCTCACACTGAACATTGGCCTCGATTCCTGCTCCTCCGTGACAAAAGCCAGGGATCTAAGAATGAAGAAATGAAAATACTTCAGCATCCTGCTAAACCATTAAACTTCCCCAACTTTCAAATGAACCACATAATATTTTATCTCGGCATGAGAGACAAAAGTCTTCTTGAGCATTTGGTTAATAATTTCACAAATCTTACAACACAGTGTAAAAACCCCTCTTGGTGTATACATTACTTGAGGCATTGGATTATTTCTAACTCTACTAATGCTTCAAAATAAGTCATTCTTACTCTTTTAAGCTGTTGTTCAACACCAGGTGACAACAGGACGCAGGCAATGATGGTACCAAGCAAAAGGATGAAGGCATACATGATTCGGGTAACAATAGACTTCTTGATCTGTGGGCAGCATCTGCATCGAAGACATGCTGCATGGTTGCAAAGGCAAGAAACCTTAAGGAAAAAGACAAAAATTCCATCTGGAGCTCTTTTATAAACAATGAATAAAAGGACAAAAATCAAGATGATAGACTCTTATGCAAAAAGACTTTCTGCTGTATTAAAAGCAAAAGGTGCAAGTATAAACACACTGGATATGGAATTGATAGATGTTAATGTTAAGACCGTTAGTGCTGTTAAGACCTCTAAGAGACAAAGAGACTGTTTATGAATTAGACGCTCAGATTTAAAACAGCTGATGTGAGATCTGAGATAGCTCAGTCTGTTGTAAACAACTTAATACTACTGTCACCTTGAGAAGCCATGTGCACAACGCATGCGGCTAAACCATGTGCTTGATGTTGTTATGGGCAACACTAGAACGCACCAGGAATTAGAATCTCTAGAGTGCATGTGTTTAATAATCTCCAGAATATTCTTTATAGACCTGTGTAATAATATTCTATAGAATTCTCCTACGCTTAATCATATGAATAATATTCTTTAGAACAGGGACTGCCAAGCGTGCTCGTGCTCATGTTGGACCTCCGTCTCTCTATTGTCGGACTCACTCACTTCATGGACTGTGAGCAGTGCTGTAATACTGCAGACCAGGAAGGAGAACCACTGCTTTAGAATACATGTGTGTACGAAGTACATGTGTTTCATAATATTCTCAAGAATTTACCTGTGTTGAACATTATTCTGTAGATTTCATCTACTGTTAATATTGCTCTCAATTACTCACCTGTATTATATTATATTATTATAAACCTTTTTGATATACCCTGTACACGTAATCGACGTGAGGTAACTGAAAGGCCCGCTGCTGACTGTCAGAGGAAACAATAATCCAGTTAAGCAGGAGCGTAAGTAACAGGTGATTTTCTTGACCTATCCTGCTTTCATTACATATGAATAAAATGTTTTGATTCATGAAAAGTTTCATTACAATCTAAACAAAATGTGAATTTATACATAAAAAAGCAAACCGACTTACCCAACTAGTCAGGGCCCCCAACACAGCACCCATAACCTATTTTCAGCAAGAGACACAGTACCTCTAATCTCCTGTTAATGTTAATAATAATGAGTCAATTCAGAATCAGAGCAAAATATATGAAATCAGAAGCGATCCCTTAGAAATGAACATAAAATATCATGCTGGCCGAAATTCAGGTGTCAGTTCCGATGCCACCAGGCGCCTGTAGTTGAGTTCTGGAGTGACAGATGGGACATCCATCACGTGACCAAACAACATTAATATTAACTACGCTTCGTGACGTTTACCCAACACACCTTACTGATTTGCTGAAAGAGAGACGGCCCCTGAAAAGCTAGCCAATTAGAAGAACCATGCATTTGGCTCATGAATATTAATTATTGAAAGCACCGGGAAGGTTACCCAGACAACTCAATGACCTCGTTAATATTCATAAGCTAAGCTTTCGTCGTTACTACTTGCTAGCAAGAAGAACAGGAGAGATGTTTCAAAGAAGGATGTTTCTGTTTTGCGTTCCTAAAAATGATTTTCTTTGTGGCTATAAAATAAATGAAAGCTATCACAGTACAAACCATAGATTAGAGATAAAGGAGGAGCCAAGAAGAAGAAATAAGAATTTTTTTTTTAACTAAGGCGAATATTAAAAGATGTTTAATGTGAAATGCGAACGCTAACATTCAGTTTTATCATTTTGCAAACTTTAATGGTCAAACAAGAACAAAAAAAATCTAAAACGTTTTAGAAAAAAATAATAATGATTTGCCTTAGGTGATTTCATGTGTTATTTACATTAGAGAAGGTAAAATCTTTTTAATTGTATGAATAATTTAATAATAATTTAGTAATTTACATATTTATTTATTAACATCTGATCAAACTTATCAAAACTTTTCATCTGTAAATAGCACAAATGCACATTCACAATTCTGTCTACTGATATTTTATTTTTCTCTATATTTTATTACTATATTGTTATTATTATTATTAATTTATTGTCTATTCTCTTTATTATTAGTGTTTTATTACCTTAAATTATATGTATGCCTGCATTATGTCTGTTCTTTCTGTACTGAAAGCTCCTGACAGCAAGACGAATGAATTCCTTGTGTGCGTGTGTGTGTGTGTGTGTGTGTGTGTGTGTGTGCAAACACGCTTGGCAATAAAGCTCTTTCTGATTCTGATGACATTGTAAAACATTTTTTCACTGCAAAGCAAACATAAGGCACGTGCAAAAACACAGCAACAAAATATTTTCATTTATGCATTTATTTAGTAGAAATACAGTGGAATCATATTTAAAATGTGTTAATTACAATCTCCTTCACAACTGTCACGTAATACCTTAAGAGAGCACCAAATTGCACAACTGTCACAGCTAACCAATCACAACTTAATAAATTGAAATGAGATTTCAGTCACCACTGAAGTTAAGAGAAAGAGAACAACTCAGTGAAGAAAAGTCGCATGATATTCTAGGATAATCTATGAAAGCACGGTATGATTATTTATTAAATGTGTTGGTTTCACTGCTACAAGGTTGTGTGTACATAAACATTATACAATAGTTAACATGAACTACCAATTCATTTTTAATAACAATAAAGTGACAGCACAATGAAGGACTAAAATTATCTATAACAGTGAACAAAATTCAAATGATAAATTAACATCAAACAAGATGAAAAATGTCTGAAAAGATATTCATTAATTCATAATACATGCATTCTGTGATATATCTAATAACTAATACATGCTACATGTGCAGTTGGTAATGTATACAGCCTTGTTGTAATGTGTTACCAATCACAAACAATCGTGTGAGATACTAGGACTACTTCTGTAAAAGGATTCTTAACTAACAGAAAATACATAATTTATGTGCCAAACAAATTAGCAGTAAAGATGAACACAAGCTTAGTGCAATGAAGGCAAGGAAAAAAAAAAAGATTTTATTTTAAAAAGATCTTTTCATAGGCTATAAAAGTAAAATGTTTACTATTATAGCACAATATACAGTGCTACATTACAAAAGGTATAATGTTCTAAAAATATAAATATATATAAAAAATATTCTAAAATATATTCTCATTTCTCATCTTGATCCTCTGTGCTGTGATCTTCAGGCTTCTGTTTTACTTGGGGAAGCATCCCAGTGATTTAGCAGGAGGAGCCATCAACATATTAGCCTGATTTGTGTGTGTGATATGAATCTACAGATAGATAGACAGACAGACAGACATCAGTTTTAATGTTAATTAGAAAGTACATATAGCTACAGCAAATATCACTTCACAGAATGCAGCTTGAAGGTTCAAACATCTGTTATTCACCTTACCCTGTGTATTTTATCCAGCAATAATGAAATCTGGGGCCTCGTTTATAAAATGTTGCGCAGAAACCATCCTAAATTTTATCTTACAATCATCTCTCAGATATGCGTACGTGCGATTCATAAAATGATCGAACGCACAGAAAACGCACGTACGCTTCTCTTTCAGATGTGAAATCTATGAATCGCAAATGATCTTGAACTTGCGCGCAAATGAATGGTTTCAGCTCTCTGCCTTGTAAAAGACTCCCAATTAATGTCTTTAACATATAAGAGCTCACCAGTCATCGTCCAAATTCTTTAATTTAGAACAGCGAGCCGCAAGAACAGCTTACATTTCCAAAAACCTGCAGTACTCCGACAAAAAAAAGTGCGTACGTCTGCTCAGACCCTGACGTGACGCTAAGCACTTTTCTACGTCAAAGGCAGTTTTTATAAATATGAGTGCTGGCATGGATTTAAGCGTACGCACACTCTAAGATCAAATCTGTGCGTACGCACGCCTTATAAATGAGGCCCCTGGAGTATGAATGTTAGAGATCATCACAGAATAATCACAATACTCAGCATGTGGTAATGGAGGGGACTCATTCATGTGATGCTATAATGTGTACCTCTGTCAGCATTATGTTTAATTTCATTGTGTATTTGTTCATGCGTCTGTTCCCAGTTTCTTGTTTAGGTTGTTGTCCTAGTTAGTTTCCTTAGTTCAGTTCAGTTCTTTGACAGTTCTCACCTTAAGTAATGTGGTTAGTATTCTTTGGAACTGATTCTGCGTCATTCATCTCCTAACAATGATAATATATGCTGCCTGGCCAAAACAAAATTTAAAAAGTCACCATCTGGTTTTAAATAAGCAGATACTCAAAACTTTAGGATTGAATCATTATTGCAGCGATTAATATGTTTCTGGCATGTTTGGCAATAATTCTTTTAACCCTAACTGATGCAGTGTGTAGCTTTTTATTTTTCAAGCAACCATGTTGGAAGACATACCCATGTTCATATTCCAGGATGACAATGCCAAGATTCATCAGGCTCAAACTGTGAAAGACAAGCAACCACAGTCCTGAGCTTAACCCCACTGAAAGTCTTTGGGACGTGCTGGAGTAGACCTTACACTACCTGGCCTAATATTTCATTGGACCACCTTTAGCTTTGATAACATTGTGTTCTGTCTTTGTGCCATTGCTTCAACAACATTAAAGGGGTCCTATTACGCTTTTTCACTTTTTCAACTTTAGTTAGTCTGTAATGTTGCTGTTTGAGCATAAAAAAGATCTGCAGAGTTACAAAGCTCAAAGTCCACTTCAAAGAGAGATATTTTATTTAACAGAAATCACTTTTCAAAAACTACAACGAACGACTCGTTTGGACTACAACGCATATTTTCCAGGATTTGTGATATCACAAATACTGACGAATGGGACGAGACCTGGTTGAGCTGCACTAGAGAAGGCAACGAGTGTTATCACTATGTCGGAGACACGCTAGCTTTCCCAAGGCAGACGAACTTAGAGTGGTTACAATCATCCGGGTTTAAATCGAGCTCAAATTGATTTGATTTTGACGCAATATTTACACTGAAGCTCGCAGGAGGCTATGGTAAGGGGCATGACATTTCCCGACCAGGCGCAGAGTGCTGCCAATCACAACACACACTGGCCCAGCTAACCAATCACAACACATTTCGTATTTCAGAAGGCGGGCCTTCATTTGATACAGGAACTATTCGAGCGTTCATGCCAGACTGGGGAGAGAGGTGTTGTAATAATGTAAAATATGTGAAAAATAATGTGTTTTTCGAACAACCTAGTATGAGAGCCTGTTCTAGTACACCCCCAAAACAAAATCAAGACTTTGAAAAAGAGCATAATAGGACCCCTTTAAAATAATTTTCAAATAAATTGATCTAGTAAAGTACACACCAACGAACCGCCTGGCTTTAAAAGATCTAATCTCATTGGCTGGATCATATAGACCATAATTTCTTATCGATGGTTGGCCAATTTACATGTCGGTCAGAAGTAGCCTCAGTAGGTAGTTCGAGAGTGAATGACAAACAAAATCAAGACTTTGCAAAAGAGCATAATAGGACCCCTTTAAGCAATGTCACAACATTTATTTCCATCAAGAGTTGCATTAATTTTTGGCCAGGATCTTGTATTGACAATGGGAGAGTCGAGTCGAGCCACTCTGTAAAGCAGACTCCAGCACATCCTAGAGACTTTCAGTAGGGTTAAGCTCAGGACTCTGTGGTGGCCAATTCATACATGAAAATGATTCCTCGTGCTCACAGAGCTGCTATTTCACAATTTAGGTCCAGTGAATCTTGGCATTGTCATCTTGGATTATGAACATGGGTACATCTTCCCACAAGGTTGTTTGAGAAGTAAAAAGCTACGCACTGCATCAGTTAAAAGAATTGTTGCAAAACATGTAACATGCCAGAAACATGTTAATCACTGCAATAATAATCCAATCCTAGACTCTTCAGAAATTACTTATGTCCAAATAGTGTCTTTTTTTTGGGCCAGACAACCCACATTTATAACATACAATTGATGCATAATGAAACATTTCAGTTAATGAGAAATCACTGTAAACAAATTAACATTGACACACTATGATAACCTGGATGCATGAAAATCTTCACAGTTCATCGTCCGTTTAGGTTGTCCAAACAGCACACTTACCCAGAGCTGCTATTTCACAATTTAGGTCCACTGAATCTTGGCATTGTCATCTTGGATTATGAACATGGGTACATCTTCCAACAAGGTTGTTTGCACTGCAATAATAATCCAATCCTAGACTCTTCAGAAATTACTTATGTCCAAATAGTGTCTTTTTTTTGGGCCAGACAACCCACATTTATAACA